CTCAAAAAGTGTTGTTGATCGCTTTTTAAAACCGCCCTAGAACAAAATGTGCAAAGGGCAGAACTCATAAAGATAGGTCCCGTGTCTGATATAAAGCCCCCCCCCCTTCCCCCCGTCGCTTAGCGGTGGGTCCCGGGCTGGGCCCCAGCCCCGCAGCACAGAAAGGTCCGCAGGGACGCGCCTTCCCCGCCCTCGGCGCCCGTTGCCGCCGCCGACCACTAGGGGGCAGTGTCGCCCAAGGCGTCCAGGAGCGGACGTGCGACCGGGCCCGGCCTTGGGGCTCCTAACCCTGCACGTCACACGCGGCGAGGCTCATTCTGCGGGAAAGATGATGAAACACAGCCCCTCCCTAGGGATCTTTTATCATCTATATGATTAATTTTATTTTTGAGGTTTTTTTAAAATCAGAACTCAGAGGGAAAACAGAGGCAGCCACACAAACTTGCTGCCTGCTGAGCCCTGCCAGCGATGCGTCAGCCCTTTTGGAATTAGTAATAATTTCATCCCCAGAGGATGCCAAGGGCAAGTCCAACAGCACCTAGGACCCAAGATGGCCCAGAATGCAGAGAGGACCAAGGCCCTGGGGCGGGGCAGAACTTTGACCTCTGTTTGCCCATTTTTAAAGTCTGGAAACAGAAGCCACAACCTAGTAATTACTTTATTGATTGTTTTCGTAATTTCTCATCTATGGATTCCTCCTCACACAGCCCAGACTCCAGAGCCCAGCCCCAACCCCGGCCCTGCGGAGAGTGGGATCCCAAATGTGGGAATCTCCTGAGACAATAAATGAAATGAAACTGATGAGAAATGTCCCCCCACCCCCAAAATACACAAGTGCACTCACCAACTATAAAGCCACGCCAAGGGGCCCTACATCGCCAGCCACAGAGGAGGGCTGGAGATTGTACGAATTCCAGAGCAGGTCAGGGGGACAGACAATTCCAAAAGAGATTCTTGGCCCAGGGTGGAGCTCTCCTGCCACCCCCACTTCCCCTACCCCCTCACTGCTAAAGCCCTGGCTTCTTCTGCACCCAGGGTCATCATTAATTCACGTATCTTCGCCTTGGGTGAGCCACCCACCTAGGTGAGCATTGTTCAAAGGGGTAGGATCCAAGCCCATCAAAGGGTCAGAATTGTAATTACCTATTCACAGCTGGGAAAATATTTACCTAGGTGCAGATACAACCCAGGTATATGGGGATAAAAGGAAGGACAATTGTATTGAGGGACGTCTCTGCCTCAAGGGGGCTAGAGATGTAGGTGATGTGCATTCCATTTAAAAGGAGCAAACTGTGTGAGTCACGTTGCCAGAAAGCAGAAGGAAACAGAGAGAACTGGAGGAATGCTCATGGGGTTCTTTCCTATGCATGGGCTTAATCGGATGCTATAGCACGGGTCACAGACTGTGGCCAGCGGGCCAAATTCAAACTAAAATAGCTTTTATATTTGGAGAAGAAAGAGGGGGAGAAACAGTTTGCCCACCCCCGTCGCATAGAAATACACAATTACAGGGTCGGTCATTTTACTGTGACTATGTCAAGCCCAGAAACAACGTTCCAACATGAGCTTCCTGCGCTTGAGAAGTACTGTGCACCAACTATGTAAGAAAAAACGTAAAATGTACCTCAACAAAACAAAACAAAAGATTAAAAACAAGAAATGTATTTTTAGCACTCTGTTCCTTGTAGCATTCCTGCCTCTGAGGATTCCAGGGAAAGTTCACATGTCTTGGTCACATTGTCAACTACACTGTCAACCTGAGTGAAAATTTTCTTTCAAAATTACCTGTTA